CAACTAATTGTCTTCCTGTTTTGAGGCTTCCCTTTCACCCTAGAACCTCAGAATGGGAAAAGGGAAGGCTTTAATAGTCAAAATCACTGCCACATAACTGCCAGTAGTCCTGGTGTGCAGCATACAAAGCAGAGGGTGTGTGTGTATCCTCTACAAACCAATACAGTCCCCTTGAAAATCGTGCTGTTCCACTTATTGGGCCTTTAACAAAAAACAGGGCCTGTGGCTTTGTGGAGAAATCGCGTGGAGTTGCAGCTGGTGGTCCAAAGGATAAGACTGCTGTTTCCCCAAATAGTGTGAGCTTCAAAGTATTGACAGGGCCACAATTAGTTAACTGAAGCAACAACTATAGTTACAGTGGTGCCCCGCATAGCGAGGTTAATCCGTTCTGGATTAACCTTCGCTATGGGGAAACATCGCTATACGGAACGGGGAAACCCATTGGAATGCATTAAACTTCGTTTAATTCGTTCCAAATGGGCACAGAACTCACCGTTCTGCGATGTTTCCCTATAGCGGCAGCCATTTTTGCGCCCTCGGTAAGCGAGGGCAGGGCGCGAAAACACTGCGCGTGGCCATTTTGGAACCGCCGAACAGCTGATTCCCCGACATCGCAATGCGAAGATCGGTAAGCGAAACGCTTACCGATCTTCTCAATGCGAGTTTTGCCCATTGGAACCGTCGGTATGCCTTCGCATTAGCGATCCAAAAAAACAGATCGCTATGCGAATTCGTCGTTATATGGTGCTTGTTAAGCGAGGCACCACTGTATTTACTATATGTTCTCTCTCTCTCTCTCTTTGTATCAGAGCATTGCACAATTTAAAATCATAGATACCCACAAAACATAGGAATCTGGAAGTGAAGGATTTGCCAGCTGCACACCTTTGCCCACTTTTCTGAGAAGATCCTTCTATGTCCCCCACATATGATTTTTTTAAAGTACTATCAAGTTGTATCTGAATTATGGTGACCCTAATGGGGTTTTCAAGGCATGTGAGATATTCGGCGAGTGGTTTTACCATTACCAATCCCCCACTGAATTTCCATGGCCGACTGGGGATTTGTACCCAGATCTCATCAATTTTATTCCAGTACTGTATCCGCTACACCACATTTGGGGTTTTTTTACAGTCTCATGATTAGCTCACCAGCAGCGACTTCCCCCTTCGCCAAAAAACATAGGCCCCAATTATTTTATTTGCAATTCCTGCTTCTTTCATCTATTTCCTTTCTTCAGAAGCAGACCATCTGACATTTAATCTATGGGGAATCAATATATTATTAATAATAAACATATCAGACACAATTAGAGACAGGCATGAATCAGAAACCAGTGGTTTATGATGATTTGTAGTTCATGGCCACCCACAAACCATGAACTATCATGACCACACACACCCAGGAAAAACAAACCAATTCATAGTTTGTTTTTTGGGTTCATGCTGGGGAGATTTTTCTCCCTTTGAACAGTAGCACTGGCACATGATATGGAAGAGGTACCATGTTAGTATGTGCTAGCATATCCGACAAGAACAAAATAAAAATAAGGAAGATGAAAATATAGTCACACCTTAAAGACTAAATCATGTGAGCTTTCATAGACAGGTCCACTTCCTCAGACTATTATATCTGAGGAAGTGGACTTGTCCATGAAAGCACACCTTAAAATAGAGCAGTTAGTCTTTAAGGTGCGACAATACTGTACAGTATTCTTCTTTTCTTTATTTTTTATTTTGTTTTTGACTAATTTGATATGGAATTTACTCTGGAAGTTCAATGACGGTTTAGAAGCAATTTGCCGCGTAACATGGAGATGCTTTTAGGTGAAACGTGATAGAAATTTTGGGTGGTCTCTCATAAGCCCACTGATTTTTTTCAATAGTGTACTCCAAAATATAGTCTTCATCTTTAATTGAGGTAGTTCCCTTTGTTCAAAAATGGTTATATCAACTAAAACATGAAAAGGCTGAATGGACTGAAATTAGCAAGAAAAAATCTGTTTGTTTTTTTTTAAATTAACATCTGATTTAGAAATAAGGCCTGTTAATTTTAGGATTGCTTCAAAATTACTGTTTTCTTAAAGGGACCAAAACCTACATGAAGTCAAGTATGGCGAATCCTGTTGTCTTGCATGATTGTGGAAGGGCAAGTGACACAAGCTGTTCTTCTAACTCTTTGTTACATAATTGGTACAAAAAGTTAAACAAAAAAAGTGCTTCTGCAAATATCCTTATGTATTATGGTAATGTGATTAGAGGTGGAATTTTGTTCTGGCTGCATGAATTGTGAAATTGAAGGGGCCTACAGTCGGTTAGCATGTTAGTGCATGCTAACATGTGCTGGATTATGGAGAAAGCCCTAGAGTTCCAGAAAAAAATCTACTTCTACTTCATTGACTACACAAAAGCCTTTGACTGTGTGGGCCACAACAAACTATGGCAGGTTCTTAAAGA